AGTAATAGAAATCATACATCACTTAAATATTAGCATTTTTCTTGCTGAACATGCATTATAAAAGGCAATCTATGAAATAATCTAGTAATTTCTTCTACTGACAAGAATATAGAACTAGATCTATGAGATTATTTCAGATTTATTGAGGCATTGAGATACTACAGTGACCACAGAACTGGGAGTAATGTTCCAGCAGAAAATACCACAGGAAATGGTAGCTCTGGCCCATGTCAYAGCTGGTATTTGTGTCTCACTGAAAATGTGAGACCAGCCTAAATCTATGTTTACATTTTATTCCACCAGAATGCTTCATGGGAAATGCTGGACTTTGATTACTATTAATTCATTTGACTTTACACATTTTCTTTCCCTCCTGGCCATCAAAGGACTGCTGTAGTGTATAATTTCCTCTTATTTTGTGATGACTGGATACCCTAAAACCTAATTTTCAACCATTACATTTTGAACCTTCAGTTTTATCTCATTGCTACACCAATCAATGTTTAATTACGTACTTTCATCCTTTCAAGAAGTACAATTTTTAAGAAGCTTGTTAAATTATTTTTTGTTGTTATGTGACAAAGAACTCAAATACATTGATTACTCGATCAGTTACACCTCAAATGTGTTGTAATAAAACCTTTGCTTTCTGATTTTTCATGACACTATGAGAAACAGCTTGAAACTAAATATTGGGACAAAAAAAATGTGCTTTATTTTTGGTTTTGATGGAACAAGTGACAGGCCTGATCCATTGCATTTGACAGTTTATATCCCCATAGCCTGAGCTGAAATTCCAGTTAGGATTGAACAGATTTATCTGGATTCCCCAGACTCATCTTTGCCTTGGTGATACTGGTCTGTGACAATAAGTTGAATTTCTCTTTTGAAACAGAGAGTGAACCTGGCTGATGCCTTTTCCCTCACTGCTGCTGTGAGAAAAGCTCGTGATTTTATAGCACAAAACTCYTTCCACCAGTGAGTGGAGTGAAAACACATCCAGAAGCAAAAGGGTATCTTTCCTCAAGGCTGTTGTTGTCCATTCAAGGTTCCAGAAATCAAGGCTCCCTCAATATCAAATAATAAAGTGTAATAGTGGAATACAAAGAAATTATATCTTTAAAAAAAAAGAAAAATAAAGTAAACAAACCAGAAAGGTTGGAGGAGGTAATCCTTGAGGTCTTCTTTGCACATGGTATTCTATGATTTTGAGATTGAAACAAAGAACAAGGGCCACTAAGTCACCCTGATCACCATCAGASCTAAGGGAAAATGGAAGTTTGTGCAAAGTATTTGGAATCTATTTAGTAGCCAAATTCAGAGGAAACAAAGTATATATTGAATCAAAATTCAGACATAAAAAAAACAGACAAATCAAGCAACAGAATTATGTCTTGTATTGTATCAGTGAATATGGACAATGACCTTTACTAATTTTTCCCCTTAWTTTTTGTCACAGCATTTGTGGATAAATGTGTCTGAGTATGGCATTGCTTATAATAAATATTAGGAATTTGATATATAGTGTCTGGTGTTTTACCTTGAACTTTAGCAGTAGCATGCACTYAACAATTGTCTATTTCTAGATTAGTAAGTGAAAAACATTTTTAAGGCAACTTCTAAGATCTCTGAAAATAAAATTGAAGACGACAAAGCAACAAACCTCCCCATCAGCTCTGAAAATTGCACCTGAGCACTTCTCATCCCCCACTCTTCCTTCCTGTCAATGCTAGTGTAGAGCTAGTGGGGCAAAAGAAGGAAATAAAAAAGCAGGACACGGTTGTAATAAACATCACAGAACAATATTTTGAGAGTACAGGGAAATGCAAAGCAGCAGGATGTTATTACTCATTTTAGGGCTTTGTGTTTTAATTTCAATGACTACTGCTCTTGTTTAAAGATTCGTGGACTCTTAAATAACTCTCAACTGCCAGAACTTCATCTTGAAGTTCCCTTTCATCRGATTTCCAGCACTGCAGTGCTCCCTTGAGTTAGATGGATGAACTAGTCCAGTTCTGGCCTGATGCTTGACCATTACTCAAGGATGTCCCAGGTCAAACCTCACTCCAGCCAGCCTTGGTGGATGCTCAGACATCCAGGAGAGGTGTCCAAGGCTCTCCAAAGCTCAGACGTGGGTTTAACAGCTGACTTGTTTAACATTTTCATGTTTCTTGTACCCTGTGAGAACATTAGTGAACTTCCTACACAACCTACACAACAGCAATTATTTTCTCCAAGTTACAGGGGKTTTTTTTTGTCTCTTTGATGTCTATCACATTCTGTTTGCAAACAAAGGTATTGACATTTTCCTTCTCTGAAGATATTTCAGTTTCCAGGCTATTTCCAGAGACAAACTCTATCAAGTGATTCATTCATTATGCAAATTGAATACTCATGACAGAAGATAGAGACTACTATTAAACTTAATGAATTATRGTAGCAGGCCTTTCCTTTAACATATTTTTACCAATTTTGTACATTTTAATATAAAACTGTGAAACTTCACTTTTTTCAGAAATACGCTTGCTTTATTTTAGTATTTACATTATTTTAATGGAAAATAGTGGGAGAAATATACTTTTAAGGTACAAATTGTTTCTTAGATCTATACTTAATATGTCAAATAATCTTTATATTGACTTATTTAAATTATTAAAAAATGCATCTCTCTCTCCTTTCCATTCATACTGTTATTAATTTGAAGAGCAAATGCAGTCATTAGATTTAAAATTATCAAATTGGTGAAGTGCATGACAAATACAGGATAGCACTGCTAGAACATTACTTTAGGAAGACCATTGATTCATTGATCATTGATTCAAGATTCATTGATTATGAAACCTTATAGTTAATAATGATCTTGTTAAACAGCAATTATTTTCTCCAAGTTGTAAACATGATCTTTTTTGCACATAAATGCAATGCAAGAGCAAGGAAATTTTCATAAAGGCCTAAGGATAGTCCACTTGGAAAGATAATCCAAATTGGGCCTAAACCACTTGTCTTTCAAAGTCTTATCTTTAATGTCAAATATTTCTGGAGATTTTCCATTTAAAATTTCTAAACTCACTTTATGATCTTTTTCTATGATAAAATGGTTTGGGTTTTGTTTTTTTTTTTAATAGAAATAACAATTTTTTTTTCTAACAATGGTTAGTTAAAACAGCAACGACAACAGAGTAATTCTATTTTCAATTAGCTCTTGTCCCAGATAAATATTACAGTAGGAAGAAGCAGCCCTGTCACATAGGGAAATTCACATTTTCCTTTAGATTGTAGCTAGTTGTTCTGAAGTTGAACTTTTGGAAGTTTTCTACCCTTTTCTCTGCATCAGCCCTCCTAAAATTATTATCACAAACATCTCCAGTGTCTCTGCCTTTCACAGTGAAACTGAACTTCCTTGATAATGGGCTCTGATACCTTTTGAGATATCAGATCGTGAGTGTACATCACAAAACTTTCAGATCAGTACTCAGCTCTCATGGTTCATCTTTTATTTTTTTTTAAAAAAACTTCCCCTTTCTGCCCTTTAGAAGTGTTGGGCAAAGACCAAAAGTTTCACATTCATTGTTATATTTTTTTCCAGAGCTTTCTTTTAATAACATTCATTATCCATTACAGCAGATACTGAAGATGAGCAAGCAGCAGACTGACTAGAAGTACCTGAGATCAGGTACAGCTTCTGTTTTTAAGACTCAGTTCACAGTGCTTAAGCACACATTTAAATTGTATTAAAATCAAGTGTTTTCTTCAGTTAAACAGGACATGAGAAAAGCAGTTTGTTCTGATAAAAAATAAGGCCATGTTTGGTATGAGCAGGACACACCACAATGGGCATCTCCTCCTYACTCTTTGTGCCAGACCTGAGTCATCAGATTCATATTCAAACCTAAAGCAAAAGGSAATGATGATATTCTTTCTTCCAGGTTTAGAGCAGTCTGTGGAGGTACTTTGGGGTGCTGAAGTTAATATTTGAAAAGCACAGCCGGATTCCTTGGGAATCTAAGGTTCCTTCCAACCCAAAGCATTCTGTGATTCTGTGATTTTTGCTGTTGAAGCAGAAACTTTMTTTCACTATGTTTGAAATCTGCAGTCAAATTAGAAAAAAACATTCTTAAGTCCTTTATTGTTCACTATGATTTTAGGGCATAAATTCCAGAAATATGGAAAGGGCACCACTTCAACACCAAAATCCTCAGATAATTGTTTTGGCCAATTATAATAGTTAAGCAYTCAAGTTGTATCATTTTGTCAATAATACTATTTTCATGCAAAAATTACCATTTTCAAATACTCCATGGCTCACCTTTTAATCCATTTTGAAAGATTTCAGTGAACTCGGCTTTGTTGAACACATACAAGTAGGTTACACATGCATAATTTGGTTGGCTGTGGACATCATAGGGTATTTTTTGTCCTCAGTGCCATCAGCCATAAAGACATTACAAGTACACATTATTWGTGCTTAACAGAAGGCAGTTACATTGAACAAAACACCTCACTTGCTCCAAAATTTTAACMAACTGAACTTGAGAAGGGCAGTGGTATCATGAGAACAAACTCAAGAAAACAATTGCAGATGATTTTTAAAATAGTTGTTGAGATCTTGGTGTTTGGCTTTGGTGTTTTGGGTTTGGTGTTTTTTTGTGTTTTTTTTCCCTGAGTCT